ACTTTCTCACCTGCTCCTCTGGCTCTCCCGGGATCACTCCCACATTTATCTGTATCTTTCTCAAACTGTGCTGCTTACTTTGCATTTTAATCTATGCTCACATAATGCTCTCGGCTCCTTTTGCCCCAGTGTTATCCATAAGTTTTTAAGCTTACTCTCTACTCCTCATTAATGAAAATACAGGCTGGTTCCAGGATCTCCCTTGACATGTCCTCGCTGACATGTACTATTGATAACTCTCTTTCCTACAGTTGTTCAGCATCAGTCTCTAGTTGTTCCTTGTGGATGAGAAAGCAATTTAAAAGTAGTTAAGGCTCTGCCCTCAAAATCTTCTGTGAAGCTGTGCACTTTGATGTATTTTTAGCAATGATGTCCATTGTGCTACACATCTCCAGGGGAATTCGAGTTATTTTTCTCTTTCTTTCTTTTATACACTGCTGTATGACTCGACATTGCCAGAGCAAGGGGCACCAAAGGAACAAATAGGAATTTGATCTTAAAGAGAGAAAATTAATTACTTCTTTACACAGCAGTACTGTTTTTTGGGACTCGTGGCTGCTGGAGTTCATGGAAGCAGATGGTTTCCCTGAGGTCAGAAAGGGATGAAACAAGCCCACGGCCAAGATGTCCACAAGGGGATACTGAGATGTCTAGGCAGGAACATGCCTTCTATCATCCTTAATGCAACAGCCCAGGTGCTGGTTGTGTATGAGGAAAAAGACTACAGAAAGTGGCTGGATTTGTGCTTTCCCTCCTGAACAGCATCTCCCACAGCCACTGGGAGATGCACTGGGCCAGGCAGGCAGTTGCTGTGACCCAGAATGAGTTCTATCAGCTTCCACTTAGCAATAGGACCAATAGGATGAGGTTTCAGTGGATATATGGCCCATTACTGTGGGTAAATCATTACAGAATTGGCCTCAGTGTAGCTCTCAGATGCCTGATGGGCAACCAGAAAAATCTATTCTTATATCTGCTGGTGGGACAGAAATGAGCTCACATCCACAGCAAAACTAAGTGTGATATGCCCCATCCCTGGCAGTGTTCAAGGCCAGGTTGGACACAGGGGCTTGGAGCAACCTGCTCTAGTGGAAGGTGTCCCTGCCCATGGCAGGGATTGGAACTGGATGAGTTTAAGGTCCCTTCAACCCAAACCATTCTGTGATTCTATGATCTCCCCATAGCGTTTAAAATGAAAATCCCCAGGAGGTAACTGTGAGACAGATTAGCTTCTCCACCTGGGGGAAGACTCCTAGAAGTGCTCTGTTGTCCTTCACCATCTCTGTGGAGGAGCCACCCCATGATGATGCTTTACGATGTTTCTCCAAATGAGGGCTGGAAGGGGGAGATTTTGGGCAGGAATATTGAGTAGGATTTGTCCAGTCAGCAGGGCTGACCTCCTCCCTTCTTACATAAAGAAGGAAAAAGCACTGTGACAATGTGAAAGCCTGTTCCTGAGCCAGGACCTTGGCTGGGATTACGCCCGAAGCATTATTTTTCACCAGTCTTCCAAGTGCTTCTAGAGGTTACGGTGTTGTGTTAAGATGCAATCGCCTGCCTTCGTGTTTTCTCTCTGAGGCTCAGGAGAAGGGCATTTCTCTGAGTTGCTGGAATCGTGCTGGACCAAGCCCAAAACAAATGAGATATTGAACTTAACCCATCAGCGGGGAGCTTGGTGAGATCGCAGCCACGGGCTCTGAAAGCAGATGCTCGAGGGCAGCTTCTGTGAGTAAACTCTGGTCTTTGGGCTCCTTTGTCTTCTCCCACTTGCTTTTTGTATGTATAGATACATCTGAGAAGGTTCCTCTGTTTCAGCTTGTTTAAAGAAAAAATAAAGATAATTCATCCAGGCCTAGACTTTAAAATAAAAAACACAATCTCTGGTTAGTGGCATTGTAAAAAAACCCACTTAGATTCAGGATGGGGTCAAAAGCTTTGTTTTGGCTATTCAACCCACCCATCCAGAATGTCCCTGTTCTTTTATCCAGAACTGAGGGAAAATAGGAGATTTTTTAATAAGATTTTGGGGTTTTCATTTTCTTATTTCAGACTGGGTAGGATGGGTACAGATATAGAAAGGTGTGTCTCCTAATAGATCCACTTATTTTCTGCAAATCACAGGAATGGGAGCAGGGAAAGGGAGATTCCCAGGTCCCAGCACAGCAGGTAGAAGAGTTTTGCTCTTTGAATAGGATAAATTTGCCTTTTGGGTGCTTTGTACATTTGGGGAGTGAATGTCCTCAGGGGTGCAGTCAGAATGGACCCATATTCCTTTTCTTGGCCATTTTAATGAGCTGTCAGTAGGAGGTGGCACAGATGCTCTGCACATCCACCACCATGCTCCTGCAGATGCCACATCCTCCTTAGGTGAACAGCCAGGCAACAACCTTTCCATCCACCGGTAAAGCTGAGTAAGGTTGTCAAATACCCTCCCCTCTTCTAATGTCAACATGCCTATATTTGAACCTTTACTCCGAATATTTAATGCATTTACTAATACATTTATGAGGAGTCATTGGGAGGTTTCCTGGCAGAGGGGCCCGGGCTCGTAGGGGCAGTAACACCACCTTTGGTTCAGCGTTAGGCAAACATGCTCACTGTGGCTGCAGACCCCAGCTTCGGTAGAGGCTTTCAAAGGTTTGTAAATATTTACACAACTCCTGAATAAGGGGGAGGAAAAGGGGGGGGGTTAAACACTGAACCTGGAGAGGAATGCTAGTCAGGAATAACAAACAGGAGGCCCGCCTGAGTCAGAAGAAAAGAAGAGAAGAATAAGAACAAAATCTCAACACCTCATTAATCCCGTAACTTCTCCTAAATCTTTACCTCATGAGGAATTCCTATAAATCTCATGGATTTGTTTTCATCTGTTAATGGAGTGCTCAGCTCAAGTGTCCGACTCATGCTCCTCTCTCCTTTCCTTGCCCCAAACCAGCCTTAGAATGTTTCTGTCCAAAACAGCTATGCAGAACAAGATCTCCCCATCCCTGGCAGTGTTCATGACCAGGCTGAACGGCGCTTGGAGCAACCTGGTCTAGTGGAAGGTGTCCCTGCCCTTGGTAGGGGGTTGGAACTGGATGAGCTTTAAGGTTGTTTTCAATCCAAACCATTCTATGATTCTATGTCAGCAATTCCTCCACTCTCCAAACCACCCTTATCACAGTAGTTTCAAGACTCCATCAGTTTCACAGCCCCATGATGCTGGGTGAATAGTGAGATCTGTTAGTGTCTAGCCAAGCACCTGACCAAACAAGAACGCTTCTACCATGGTCTATCTTTACAGCCCATGGAGATACAGTATCTCTAGGACATGCTTCGTCACATCCAAAAGTCAGTGCCTGTTTGGCTTTAATGTCCAGTGTGATCCAAGTGACCCAACTTGGCATATTTTAGGAGAATGAGATAGCTGGGTTTTGAGAATGGCTGTGGATCCACACTCAATGGATCAGGATTGAGAATGGCTGTTGATCCACAATCGATGGATCTGTTTTGAGAACATCTGTGGATCCATGATCAGTGAAAGAGAATCCCCACTTCCTAAGTTACTCCCGAGAACCTCAACCCAGCCACTTGCAAGTGAACAAAGAAAGGGGACCCAACACAACGGCCAACTTATCCCGACAAGTCTGGCTTTAATTAAAAGCAGAAGCAAAACAAGCAGTGGAAGTCCGTGTGATATTTGGCGACTTGTCATCCTACACTGTGCTCCTGCTGTGCTGCCTGCTCCTGGGTCAGCACTCGGGGTGTTATAGTGCCAGCTCCCCAGCTGCTCTACCGTGCTGGGAGACACTTTGAGGGGGGAAAGTGCAGAGTCCAACCCTGCCAGTATCGGTTGTGATTTCCCTGATAGTGTCAGGGCTGGAGAGTGGCTGTAACAGACTGTTTGGGAGCTTTCCCAGCCCTGAATCATTGGCATGGAGCCTGTGCAAATACTCGGTGGCTGCAGGGTTTCTCCTCCATCTTTTTCAGGTTAGGTAGTGTTGGACAAACACCGGTGTTTGTTTTTTAAGGTAACATCTTCTTCCAGCTTCTTTCAGATGGCTTTGGAGCCTGCCTGGGGATACAGATTGCAGGGACTATGAGGTATTGATTTGGTGGAGGTATCATGATAGCTTTGCTCATCTGCCTGTACAGGAGCAGGGTCCTGCCTGCCCTGGCTGACAGCAGCCTGAATGCTGCTGAGCCTGAACTCAGAGTCAGAACAGGAGTTTAATGTTATTTTGAGTGTCAGAGCTGGTGTTGTGAGTGGAGCCCTGGGGCTCTCCCTGCCTCCCCTGAAGGTGTCAAGGGCTGTTTGGCTGGGTGCTCACCCCTGCCATGTCCTGGCTGCAGCTGAGATGCAACCATGCGGGCTTCACCCAGCACCTTGCAGAGCTGTCAGACCCCAGCACCACCACCAGGCAGTGCTTTGGAAAACCATGCAGGGAAAGAAGTGTGACCAGTAGGTTGAAGGAGGGGATCCTGTCCCTCTGCTCTGCTCTCATGAGACCCCACTTGCAGCACTGGTGCAGTTCTGGTGTCCTCAGCATAAGGACATGGAGCTGTTGGTGCAAGGCCAGAGGAGGCCACGAGGATG